CCGACTCATGTGCTTCCGCTTGCAAGAGAAACGGGGTTGTAGTAACGGGGGAGAATTCGTTGGTTTCGGGTTCTCCGGTTGGGTTTGAGCAGATGAACAAGAATTTGTTGGGTGAAGACGCGGCGGTGGATTTGTTCGTTTATCAGAGAATGGGAGCTTATTTCTTTTCGCCGGAGCATTTTCCCGCTTTCGCGCAGTTTTTCCGGGGGTTGAGCCAACCAACTCAGAGTTTGGATGATTTGCCAATGGAGGAAGATTGTGAGAATGCAGAGTCTCTCTGTGGTATGAATCGATACTTGCAAACGGCGTAGTTTTAGTAAGTGGTGTTATTGTAAATATGGGCTATTTTCATCTTTGTGGGACCTACTTTGTGATAATATATACTACTACTAATTATGTCCTAATGACATAATTATTCCTACAATCTTGTGTTTATGCTTTTTATGCTTTTATATCACATACAACTCAAAACAAAACCAAGTCAAAAATAAAACTATTCGATTCAAGATTGATCGGTAAAAGTTAATTCGAGTTTGGTTCTTTAACGCAATGAATCAAGTTCGAATGTAAATTTTTGTTTGATGAGCTAGGAAGCTCAACTCGAGTTCAATTAGAAAGGAAAAAAAACATAAAGAAAAGAAAATTCAAGTTACACGAGCTCAAAGCTTGTTTGGCATCGGCTCAATTATTTGTCACAAATTTTTAAAATTCGATAAAAATTCAAATAAAAATTAACAACCAAAAGAGATATATGGGAAAAGCAAAGAAGACAACGTGGGTATAGCTCAACTGGTTACGGGGCGGTAAGTTGGTGTAAGTTCCTATGTAAATCAGGTCGTACGGTGATTTTTTTTTTATTGTAAGTTTACCCTTGTAACAGTTGCTATCAGAGCCCGAATCTCGGATTTTGAACGGTGTTCTTCGACATGGAAGATTCGAATTCTTCCTTACGATGAATCCTACGCGGGCAGCGATGCTCGACATGGGAACAATATTAAAACGCCTTGAGACTCTTGTTGGGCAATGCTTGATATGGAAGCAATTTATAAAATAATATTACAATACAGAAAAAATGTTATATCAATAGCAGAACGACCCCCTTACAACCTTCAAATTTGCAAAAGGTGAAAAAAATGCGAAAAATTTCAATTTAGGGGTTAAATTGTAAGTTCTTAATATTTGTCTTTATTTGAATAGAAATCATAAAATTTGGGGACTAAGATGAAACATTTGAAAACTAAAGTGCGATCAGAAGTAATGTAAAATAGTCTCCATTTCCACCGCGACGAAGAATACAGTTACACCCCGATTCCCTTAACCCTAACCCCACTCTTCTCCTTTCCGTCCCACCTCTCTACAATCAAAACCCTCGCCGTCGCCGTCGCCGGCGGAAACGACGACACCATGAAAATATACGACATCACTTCATCCGCCGAGATCGGTTCCCTCTACCATACCTCCTCAATCACCTTCCTCGCCTTGTACTCTCCTCCT